GCTTAAAGCAGAGCGAAGTAAATCTGCGTTTTCGTTTATATTGTTTAGCCTATACTAGGACATTAACACACACTGAGACATACTGGACATTAAATGTTGCGGCTCCCAAGGTGGTTTGATTTTTGTTGAAAGGACAAAATGGCTCTTCTTATCATTTGTGTTGTGACTCCTGACCTAACCTGGCTGAGCCGGTCGGATTTCTCGCTCATCCAGTTGTGTTTTTGTTATGTGCCACCACAGACTGTCCAGGCGCTGCACTTCTGCACTTCCAAGTTCTGCCTTTTGCGTTCCGTCAACATTACACTATAAATTAAATATTTAGAAAATCGATTTTTGACATTTGTGAATCAATTCAGAATCGTTCACGTCCGCATCGCAAAGCATCTAAGAATCGATTTTTTCCCGCACCCCTACTATTCAGTGTTCAGGCTGCAGTTTTAGCTCACATCTCAAGAGTCAGTCTCCGCTTTATCCAACACAAAAAGTACTGATTTCTTTCTTAGATGAGCAGAGGCTCTTCAGATGTGAGCTAAAACTACAGCTAACTGCTACAAGACTGGATGCTGATGAGGACTCGTCATCTTACTCAAGGTATTTTCATGCCCCCTAGTGGAGTTTGCATTGACAGGTACACTTGATCAGCAAATAAATACATGGACTGGATTTTGTATTTTATTTTCTTTAATTGTGCAGTTTGATAATTCAACACTGACATGCTAACTTTCACCTAAGACTATGATTTTCATTGTGTTCATGATGTGATATGAGCTCTGTCTACTTGAGCTTTGTTTTTTGTTTATTTTCTTCAGTTTGTCAAAGTCAAGCTCAGCATAAAACATGATATTCTGAAAGCTGTTTGAGAAGACGAGTAAAGAATTTAATAGCTTTGTAGCTTCATTTCTTCGCTTCATAAGAAGCGTAAAAAAGCAGTTTATTAGATCAAAACATCAAAACAAATATCTCTGGTAAATGACAGTATGCTTCCCAATATGACAAAATTCATTAAACAGCTCGAACCTTATTTAGCTTGGGCCAGTTCAATCAAATTGATTCATTAACATTTTGGAATAACTCTGGAATTCTCTTCATGGCTATGTTGGTTAGCTGGGCTAATGTAACTCACTGCATATTCGGCAAACCCAATAATGCCATGCTGCAGCGAGAGCCGGAGGCACTCTAAATGCGCATCATTGATACTTCAGCTCAGTATGCATATCCAGCTGTGTCTTTCAAAGCCTCGTCAACATTAAAGAGTATGTGCGAGAGGAGAATGGGTGCTGCTGGTGTGCTGGCATGCTATTTTCAGGCCCCCAAAAAAAAACACCCTTCTCCTCTACACTCAACTGTCTTCTCTTCAAAAAGCCAGATAGACGGAAATTCCCAACAGGCCACAGATCCAATCCACGCTTTGAGGCTACCCCCACCCTTCCCAATCTCTCTTCCTTCCAAAGCCTCCTAAAGCAACCTCATTTTAATCCATTCTGTTTTCTCTGCCTTACAAGGTCAAGCCTGAATCCTACCCAAACACCAAAGCGGAAACTACTCTGTAGTAACAGCCTAAACAGAATTGCTCATGAACTAGAAAATGATGATTTACTTGAGAATATTTCCTGTTCAGCCCCAAACAGGTGCACTTAACTGACCTGCTGAATGTGACCATGTTTTCGAGAGGGTAATCAAACAGGCTACTTCAGTCAAGAGGTACCCAGAAAATGTGCAACCACGGGTGCCAATAGCCTATGAGATACAATAGTAATGTCCAGTGTGGGTGGAGGAACCTTGAGCACAGAGGCTTTTATGTCCTTATCAGGCTTATGTGACCATCACTCGCATCCGGCTCACTGTGCCATACGTCCAGTGATTTAGAACAGGATGTTCTTGCCCATAATGGAAGGTGAGTGTTTGTTTGGAGAACACATGGATATGAATAAATGCACGTAATAAATGCAGGTGGAAGGAAACTGCTGTAGTTGTTATTCAGTTTTATTGTGTGGACTAGACCAGACATACAACATAATGCAACAGAACTGAAAAAGGAGGTCAGAAAAACACACCTTACCCTAATGTACTGCCATTCAGTGTTAGGGATCAGCTTGGTACAGTAGAAGGTGAATTTAGCTGGCGCAGGTCCACATGCACTGAAACAAAGTCAGCAGTCTTCATGTTTCACGTTACTAGAACAGAACACATCAGATCTGTTACTACATCAGCATGTAAAAGCTATAGGCTGCAGAATATTTATCTGTGCCACACTGTGGGCAGTATTTCATAAAAGCTGTTCTATTCATTTCACTTAAATTATTCCAGCAAGTCTGGCATACAATACTGTGCAAAAGTCAGAGACCAGTCTTACATTTATTCAATTTCCAGTCAAAACTTAACAAAATTACAGCCTCCAACATTAAGTATATCAAATCCATCAGTATTTGTCTACTCTTTATTTTTTGTGCCCTCTACTGACACTAACTCTACCACCCTTCCACTCTTACAACTAACAAGTAACAGCTGCATCCTCCCAAAAAAAGCTGTTCCCAAAGATGTCAGTGACATTATCAGCCCATCCCTTGAGGTTTGTGGTTTTGCTTAAGTGTGTACTTATTTGTTAAGACCGTAAGCGTGAGGATAGGGATCACCTCCTAGTGTGAGTGGCAGTTGCCAACATTCTCACAATTTTGATGTTCTTCCCCAATTTTTCCCAAAACAGTTTGCAAGAACACTACCAATGTATTGAACTGCTGGATATATACTTAAAGAGTTAGGATATAACAGAATACAAGTATTAGGTATACACCGATCAGGCATAACATTATGACCACCTCCTTGTTTCTACACTCATTGTCCATTTTATCAGCTCCACTTACTATATAGGTGCACTTTATAGTTCTGCGATTACAGACTGTAGTCCATCTGTTTCTCTGCATAATTTGTTAGCCCTCTTTTACCCTGTTCTTCAGTGGTCAGGACCACCATGGACCCTCACAGAGCAGGTACTATTTGGGTGGATCATTCTCAGCACTGCAGTAACACTGACGTTGTGGTGGTGTGTTAGTGTGTGTTGAGCTGATCTGAGTGGATCAGACACAGCAGTGTTGCTGGAGGTTTTAAACACGTCAGTGTCACTGCTGGACTGAGAATAGTCCACCAACCAAAAATATCCAGCCAACAGCGTCCTGTGGGCAGCGTCTTGTGACCACTGATGAAGGACTAGTGAATGACTCACACAAACTGTGCAGCAGCAGATGAGCTACGGTCTCTGACTTTACATCTACAAGGTTGACTGACAGGGTAGGAGTGTCTAATAGAGTGGACAGTGAGTGGACACAGTGTTTAAAAACTCCAGCAGCACTGCTGTGTGTGATCCACTCGTACAAGCACAACAGACACTAACACCACCACCATCACATCAGTGTTACTGCAGTGCTGAGAATGATCCACCACCCAAATAGTACCTGCTCTGTGAGGGTCCATGGGGGTCCTGACCACTGAAGAACAGGGTAAAAGGGGGCTAACAAAGTACGCAGAGAAACAGATGAACTACAGTCTGTAATTGTAGAACCACAAAGTGCACCTATATAGTAAGTGGAGCTGATAAAATGGACAATGAGCGTAGAAACAAAGAGGTGGTCATAATGTTATGCCTGATCGGTGTACACTCTCAGAATACAGGAATTAGGTAGCTGTATTCAGTCCAAGTTACATTTTGAAAAGGCAGCTTTTAAATGTTATATTTTAAAAGCTTAGAGAATATTTTTTAAATACACCCACTATATATATATATATATATATACACACACACACACATACATACACACACCATCTTCAAAAGAAAGACCATCAATGCTTATCAGCTATTTTAGAATCAGTGCATGGCATGTAGCAAACATGCTTGTTAGACAAAACTTATAATTAACAGATTCTTACTAAAGCCTGAATAGACTGATAAACCAATGTGATCAGTTTTTAATCTCAGTGTTACTGAACTCTTGAGGGAGGATAAAACTAATAGCATCCTTAGTAGTGGAAATGTTTGTGATAAGTTCAGCATCGGTGTTGTACTGGACTCCTGCTTGGAGGAAGTGTGTGAACAGCACTCCACAAAGGCAGGTGGAGAGAAATTGAGAACTTAAAACTTTTTTTTTTTTTCATTAAAAAAAGTACATAAAAGAAAACTGCCAACCAAACAGTAACAGAATGAGTTAAATTTTATAAATCCTCCCCCGCATGTCTTACCAAGACATATTGTAAATGTATTCTAAAGGCAACTACAATGTAATTAACTACTGAATGCATTAAAAGTGTATTCAGCCATCACTACTTTGTCATGAATTTGGCCCAACCCTAAAGCATAGAGGTAAATGTAAACTCTCCTGGGCTCAATACTGTTTATACACGGTCTTTGGGACAGGGTCCGTTTAGTGTGGTCTAAGGCATTGTACTTTTACACGTCTGAGAAGTGGGACACACTTGGACACATGAATGCACTGGCAGGCACACAAAACCACAAGTGTGAATATTTGGGACAGACTGATTTGTCCTCTTCAAACACTTTGAAGAAACCTGCCTCTGAAAGCTACTGGCCACAGCTACACTGCCTGACTTGCTTTTGAGAAGCTTTTGGCCCATTTCATGTTTAAAAAAGGATTACTTTGGCAACCATTATCAATTTATTTTATTTTTAATAAAGAGGCCAGTAAACCTACATGTCAGACAGTAAATAAACACCATGAGATTAGGCTCCCATAACAGACATCAAATTTTGTGCACCATTTTCATGGGCAGAGGGACAGTTTGTATCCTAAATAAATTAGACTGCATTTTATTCTTCATTCAATTGAAGCTCATTTTGGTGACTGCTCAGAATAAGTGCTTGCAGAAAATATCTACTTTAAGTGAACATCTGCCATCTGCTGGTGAAGTCATGCACCACTCAGTCAAATAAAGCAGCCTTAATATATACAGTTTTATTTCAGAACATCGTAACAATACATTGAAAAAACACACAAAAAAGGAAAACGCTACTGGCAAGACAGGACGCTCTTGGCAACACCTACAATATGAGCAGGGAGAAAATAAAAAAAAACCCACATTCAGTTGATGCTTAAATTCAACCCAATATCATTGCAGTGGCAAATACGTACCCAGCATGCCATTCTGCCATCACTATGCCTCAGGGGGAACTCCCTGCAATAAGAAAATAGAGTTTGCATTGATTGGTTCAGTGACCTTTCCCCTTTCACATTAAGTGACTTCATGCACATGCAGCATAAGATACGATGAATGCTTTATGAATTCATAACTAGCTTGTACTTAAGCCCCCTCCTCCAAATAATGTAGTGAGAAACCCATACCTTCTCCAAATCTTTGATCACAACAACACCCTTCTCCACTTCAATATCACTCTCCGTGTCATTGTGGGACCTGTACTCCTCACTGTCCGTCTCAACTGCACTGGGCTGCAAAACGGCAAAGAAACTTAAGCAAAACATTGGGATTCCAAACTTGCTTAAGCACCGTTCAAAATCAACTAATGTAGTGTTCTTCCATACATTAGTGTTCATAAAGTTGCTTTTAGAGGTGTGACAGGCAGCACTACTCTTTTAGGCTTACAGAAAACTCCAGGCATTGCTGAAAAATGTAAAAAGATCTTATTTGATTTGGACTAGTCCACTACTGTGTAGATAGTTTCTCCCATTACACTTGTAATGAGTATTTTTAAACATGAATAACAAATTAGGGTAAAGTGAGATTACAATGCACTTCCTAAAGAAAAGAAAGGGGGGGGGTCTATTCATAACAAATGAGATGAATGCAAGCCCAGCACTCAGCTACATTTTATGCACAGATGCCATTTGTACACTCAGTTGGTTTGTCCCTTGGGAAAAATCTTTGACACTGTCTGCCAAAAGGTCCAACTAGCAAAGAGGGAAGGAACATTCCTATGGGGCAGTTCTTACTTTAGTTTCAGCTTCAGGTACCAGCTTACTAAAACACTCCTGGCTAAGAACTTTAAAGGGGTCAGCATACTTCATAGTCTGGATCATCGGCATGGTCCTCATCAGTCAGCTCCTGGGTTAGAGCCTCCACCCAGGACTGCTGCTCTGGCTCATCATCTTCATCCATGTCATCCTGTTTCCGCTTACTGCCTTTCCCACAGGGCTTAGTGGGAGAGCAGCGCACCTCTACTAGAAGGTTGGCAGAAAATGAAGTCACACTGATGGTGTTATTTTGCAACTCCCCATATGGCACAAACAGTTAACACATTGAAATGCTCATGACTGGCATGAAAAACCAGGACACAAAAGCCTGTATAGACAAGCTATTCTCAAAATACCTGGTGCATCATAGAATGTTGAGAATTAACCACAACAACCAAAGACAGTGCTGAGTTTACACCGCACCAAAAGTCTGGTAAAACCATCTTATATAGAAATATTAATAAACATAATTTCTCCTGTTAAGATTGTTGTAAGCTTATTTTAAGATTACTTACCTTATTTCTGGACATTGCTCAGTCATTTTTAGTAATTTTAGTTAATTCTCACTATATTGGCAGATAATTTTGTTTGTTTTAAAAAAAATAAAATAAAATTGGGTACATCTCAGTACCTTTAGTAAGGGAACATAATTGTACCAAAATCCATTGAAATATTTTCTAAATTGTATTAACTCCACAAACCCAGTCACATCAAGGCTTTTTATTTTATTGTTCTGTTTTAAAACATTACATTATGAAAAGGTACAAATATGTACTTTTCACCAGGAGAAACTTAGTTTTTCACAATTGGACCTTAAAACCACTGTTGAACCTTTGAGGGTACATTTACATTGTTTGTACCTCAATGAACGAAAAAAAGGACCTGTACAGAACCTTCACTTCTAAGTGTATAGTGAGAATTTTACTTAATTACCTAACACAAATGTCTAGAAATAAGATACCATTTTTGCAGTGTAAAACTAAGCACATCATTAAAAAAAAATTTAAAAACTCAAGCAGGATGCCTGAGTGTCGATAACACACCTGGGGACACAGAGCAGCCAATGCTGGTGCAGACAGGGAAACCAAGCAGTCCCTGGACCCTGCGGGGCAAGACTGCTAGCAGTAGGCGTGAGGCCCACCACAGGCGCTTTCGGCCTGTCCTGCACTGCCGTGCAGCCGGAGAACTTCCCGCCTCTGGATGAGGGAGGAGGGCCTTTCTGGGAGAGGAGAACCCAAACAGCCACCACAAGCCACGAAAACCACGTACCTGAAATTGACCAACAGAAGATCAAGGACGCACCAATTCAATATATTTTAGTGCAAGATGTAAAGTATTGACCCAATCCACTTTACCCAAACACCATTCATCTCCAACAACTATATTCAGTACACAGAAAACTGCAACAGAACTTGGTTTTACACTTTATTCCAAATAAAACTGAAGATTACTTAGTTTAGTGTTCAGTCTTAAAACAGGCCTGATTTAACCAGCCAGCTGAAGGCCAGGCCTCAGGAGGAAATGCTGAACCCTAGAAGATACTCCAGTTTGACACCACTGATCAAGAGTGTTGACACTTTGTATAACTATACCCAACTGTACTCACTGGAATCATTTTATAACAAGCTGTACAAGTCTGGATTACTTGTTTTATTAAAATTAGCACACTCTTAAAACAATGGTTCAATTGTTCTATTTAGAACCATTTCATGCCAAAAATGGTTCTTTGCATAGTGAAGTGGCTCTAAAGACTGATGGAAAATGTGTTGAATATGGTTTGATATAGAACCTTTTTGAAAATGGTACCATAGCACAAAAAATTAAATAAAAAGTCAGTTTAATGTCAAGCTAAGGTTGTGTGTATAATTATATATATATATATATATATATATATATATATATATATATAACTAAACATAGCCTCCAGTTTGAACCATTTAAGCTTGAGATTCCTTTTACTAAGGACCCCTGAAGAACCATTTTTTCAACAATATTTCACCAGAGGAAGTTAATTTTTTTTTTTACATACAGACATTAATGGGTACCTTAAACTTGCACAATCAGTACATTTTTTAAAACAAAAAAATCCCACACAACACACACACACACACACCATTTTCCAGAAGTAGTGGATGATGGAAGACTAGTAGTGGAAAGCTACACTTAACCAATTCACATCCTGAAACTCACCACAAAGCTGACTGGCCAAAACTGTGAAACTCGACAGAAAACGGATGTGAAAACACCGCCTCTCTTCGAAACAGCATCCCGCTGCTGAAAGAACAAGGACAGACCCCATTAAAGCACACAAAAAAGTAGACCTATCTAGCCTGCTACACCACACTACAGCCTGGGCCTGGCAAACGGTAAAGGCACTTTGGACAGAAAACCTTAGCTGGCTAGCTACTGAGCTGTAGCCTAAGGGTGCAATTAGGCACAAAGATGACTAACCAGCCCAATCTCGGCTCTTTCGATGTAGCTGCTGCCAACAACACGAGTTAAAAAAACAGTTATCAAGCCACCAGCTGATTAAGGCGCAACACTGACGGGGAACAAACTTGCCTGTTGACCCTCGACGCTCTGAGCCTCAGTGTTAAGACTGCACTGGGAGGCCATTTCGAACTCCCTACTTTCACACAGGTGCGGCTTTGGCACTTCACATGTAGCGTTGAGACGGCGGCGCTCAACCAATCATAAACTCCGGCTTAGCCAATCAGTCACGACCAATCACAAACGTTGGCGCTGCGTGTACTGCGCAAATGCTGACACTCAGCCAATCATAGCCCGCGTTGCGCTACTTCCGGCCGCTAATTAACCACAAGAGCGAGCCAATCATATTTCAGCTTAAAGAAGCAGCGTCGTAAGTAGTGCAGAGTGCGCTCTGGTTACACGTGCCTGGCTCGCGGCTTTTTACTTAGCGGCACCCCAAGACTGGAGAAGGCCGGTTAATTGGAGTGTAATATTATTTTTCATGCAAGAATTAATGCTTCATTTACTTCAACCAGGAAAAGGTTTTAAATGCTACACTCAGTAACACAAAATCTGCACAGAAGAAATGAGATATATTTACATCTAAATTGTATGCATTAAGGAAAGTTTTTTTGTTTGTTTGTTTTTTGTGTTTTTTTTTTTTCCTTTCCTGGGGCCTCTTAAACCACTTATAGGAAGAAAAAACCTTGGGTAGAACAACTTAAACACCTCACTCCAGCGCCCAGTGTTTTGTTGCTACAGTGACATGGCTGAATTTGATATCAAAGTAACGACCAGAAAACAATTACATTAAGTGTAAAAAAGTATTGGGACAAAACAGTGCTCAAGTACTGAGTTCTGTAGAGAACTGCCGTGGAACTTAGAACATTGAGCATCTTTCAGCATAGGAACTGTTTTAGGTACATGGAACTTGTATGGAAATATAATAGCAATAAGAGTAGTAATAATATATAATTAATATTATATTAATAAGTGATAATAAAATCTGATGTTAAAACAGCTCTACAGTGTTCTTTCAACTTAAACTTCTTACTTTATTTAAATGTCATATTTTTTAGTTCTGTATCTCAGTTAAGCAAACAATCTAGAATATGTTTTCTGCCTTCCTCTCTAGCTTGTACTCCTTCCATCACATCAGGTGTTTCATCCTCTTGGGCCCCCAGTTATGGACGGCTGGGGCATCACTGGAGACTGTACTCAGATTTTGTAATTCACTGTAAAAAATAAAAAGCCTGTGTTGGTTGTTTTGACTTTGAGAAGTAACTCAGTAGAATGTGGGGCAACTGCCTAATTCACCCCAACACCCAACATCTGGAGACTGTGAGTTTGATCTCCAGTGATGCCACAGCTGCCCCTATCTGGATGTCTAAAAGGAGAAAATGCCTGGTGGGGCTGTGTGATGGAAAGAGTCCCAGCAAGTGGGGAAAGTGGGTAAAAAAAATTCCTTCATTGTTAATATAAGTGAGATGCAGAACTAGAAAAGAGAGTCAGAAGAATTTTCGACTAAACCAAGATGTTTGGGTTAGATGAACTTTAGTGTCCTCAAGTTGAGTTACCTCAACGGAAGTAGTGCGATCAGTTACCTTATCATTTTATGTTGAGCTGACTTCCCAATCTTTACAGTGTGATAATAATAAATGATAGAATCATTAAAAAACAGTATTGCTGTCTACTGAAATCATTTTAGAATATAGTAGTAATAAAAAAAAACTTTTAATTATTAACTTTGCATTGTGTTCAAAATTGCTAGACCAATAAAGATGCTTCAGAATTACTTGGAACAAAAAATATTTTGCATTCACTTGCATTAAAAACAGCATTTTACCCCCTCCTGTAAAGTTACCATTTTGGAGATACTTGTTTTTTTTGTTTTTGTTTTTCTTTTCGTGGACAGCGACGATTTCATATAAAACTTATTGGTTTGTTTGTTTATTTGTTTGTTTGTTTTGAATAAGGCAGCTGGGCGGAAGCTGTGCCTTGTATGAATCAGGCTTTTAATGAGGGAGCCTCTTGTTTACGCATCTCCTACATTGTGATCCGGCAACAGAGCTACACTTGGTCAAGGCTTCCGCCGAGGCACGCGCCCACCTGCTCCTGTCGCGTGCGTAAGCGGGAGAGTGGAGGGTGGTGCAGAAGAGGGTATAAAACACGGAGGGGCTTCCCGCGCTCTCAGTCTTATTCTCACTCTTACTACCAGATCATCACAAGCGCGAGCAGAAAACATGAACAAGCCCGTCTCGCGCACTATCAGCGCCGGCTGCTCTCCGCTCAGCCGCTCTGCCGAGAGCGCGCGCGCGCCACCCAGCGGCTTCGAGTTCGTGCGCCGTCACAGTGCTGCCGGACTGCGCGCGCTCGCGTGGACCGCGCCCAGCGCGTTCTCGTGCTCCGTGGGCTCGGAGGGCCGCGAGAGCCGGGACAGCCTGCGGGGTATCGTGGTGACTCCAGACAGCATCCCGCAGTTCACCATCCCCAGGCTGGCGGTGGAGGACGTGAACAGGTGCAAAGAGCGGCAGGACGGAGCCTGGGGCAGCACAGAAGAGCTGACTGGGTCACCTTATCCACATTCACCGTCTTCTTCTCTCTCTTCGTCCGCCTCATCTTCATCTTCGCCCTTCGACTCGTCTCCGGCGCTTGGACGCAAGGCCCACCGGAGCGTCTCGGACCCCGACACCATCAAGAGGACGTATCTGAGGCGTGAGAGCTCCATCCCTTGTCCCCTGATGGAAGGTGAACACTGCCATGATCCCACCACAAGGGCGGCGCTCTCCTTGCCCCACCTGCCCAAAGTCACCACCCCATATGGCTTCATCACCCTCAGCCAGAGTCCTCAGATGGCCAATGAGGAGGAGCTCTTCTTCCAGGCAGGACACCGCCGCTGGGCCAGGGATGAAGAGAGCACACCCCTGAGGAACCCAAACCTGGAGAACAGAAGGAATTCCTCAGGCAAGACTCTCCCCATCTACATCTACGCAAACGCCCCCAAGAAGCAGTCCTCAGCCAAAGGGAACGACACCTGGGAGACCATGGGACATTCAAGATCTTCTCCTTCTACAGCCACACAGACTCCCACTAGCAGACCCAAACGCAGCCTCTGGGGCGTCCTGCGTAAACATCTCACCAGCCAGAAGGACACCAAGTGGGATGGGTCCATCTGAACATACAGCATAAAGAACAATAACCAATACAATACAAGAATGACTATATTTTTGTAATAATGACTTGTTGACTGTGCCTTGTTCATATCACTGTGATACTATAAAGATTTAATTTTACTAAAACTTGCTGTGTGGCCTGAATGTGTTTCTCAGTTCAGTTCAATTCAGTAACTCAGTTAATTAATTCAATAATGCAATTATTATGAGTTTAAGCTTACTCTCTGACTCTTTCTATAACATGGCACCAATAAAAGGCTATTCAAACAGACTGCAGTGACAGGTTTGCCTTAATTTATTTGTGAAGATTGAGAAACTAGGTAAATCCAGTAAATGCATCAATAGATTCAAAGCACTGCTTCAAAGAATGAGATATATACTGCATTATATAAGGTTAAGATGCTAAAACATGAAAAGTATTCTTCTAAATGCCAGCACCAGATATAAAATACACACACACACACACACACACACACACACACACACACACACACAGTATTTAAGTTGCTTATCCTACTGGGTCATGGAGGTTGCTGGAGCCTATGGCTTTATAATACAGTACTATGCAGAAGTCAGAGACATTTCTTTTAAAATTATTTATTTTCAAGAGATGTGTCTAAACATGTTAGATAATTCACTTTTATGAGGAAGGGGAAAATCAAATTAAAATAAGTGAAAAAAGAGACAGGAGTTTCCAAAACCGGAGTTCAAAAAGTTATGAAAAAATAGAGAGAAAATATGATTCCTGGGAACAACGATGCAAGACCTGGTGGACCACCAAAACTACCACCATCAGGTAATCAGTACTTAAAGCTTTCATCTTTGAGAGAGAGGAGATCAAGCTCCACTCTTGATTTAGATCTGAAAAAACACAGGTGTTTCTGTCCATCGTTCCACTGAAGGCAACTCAACACTATGGGTCTAAAAGGATGTGTAGCTGTGTAGAAGCTCTTACTGAGAAAAGGATATTTGCAAATCAAACAAAGAAGCAGTTGGTGTTCTCAGAACAATGAATTGGCCACCCCAGAGTCCAGTACCTCAACATCACTGAATGTGTTTGGGATTCATTGGATCGTGAGAAGCAGAAAATAAAACCAACTTGTAAGACTGAACTTCAGAGGTGTGGGTTTCTTTAAAAAACTGAAAGCAAGTCTACAAAATTGTCTGTCATTGTCAGAGTTGAATTTTCTTTTTTTTACAGTTTACTCACAGCTTTTGTTAAAGAGTGCCTCCTTTTGGTAAACTCTGAAAATTCACAGGTTTATGAGCTGATAAAGACTGTCTGCGTGCACCATTAGACATGTGATAGTGGAGAGGTGGAAGAAGAATGACCTCAGCGAACTTGAGTTTTTCTAATGGGCTTCTTCTTCACAGCAGGAGGAGAAACAGAGAGAAGGCAAAGGCGATGGTGGGGTGCAGAAACTTTGTCACAGACACCAGTAGAGAAAGTGAAGGACGGAGTTTCAGTGAAACCTCAATTATGTGTACAAGTAGGATGATTTAGAACCAGCGAAGTGCTTTATTGTACGCTTTCTTAGGCGTATTGTGTGAGCTCTGAAACACATAGGACAGGTCTGTGTGTCTGTAGACCATGACTGGTTTCTTCTTCGTCCATTAATGAGGCCTGCTTGTGCATCTCATATAAGGCTGCTGACGTGAGCATGCATGCGTGAATCAGGGATGCCCTGTGTTGTGGGGAGCAAGTGAAGGATCTATCCACAAGCCCTTAAAGGCCACTTCATAGCTCATCAGTGCTCTCATCTTGTCCCTTTCTTTTCTTTCTTCTTTTTTTTTTTATTTTGATGCATCATTGAAAGCAGCCTGCTGAATTCATCCAGCTCCCGAGATACGACCCTGCCTACACTTAGGCCAGTATTAAAAAAGCCCAGAGCAAGTGTTCATCTTTTGATCTGCACTCTGTACTTCATATGATGGACATTCAAATGATAATGTTTGTGTCATTATCTAAAAGCC